TAGTTAAAGCCACCAGCTGCTCCTGGGGAAAAGATGAGGCTGTCTGCTCCTATAAAGATTCACAGTCTCAGAAACCATATACAGCGTCTCTGATTAAAAATCAACTCAATGGCAATGGGTTTTTGTTTTGCAACTGTAATAAAAGTAATGCAGGGGTATGCTTTGAAAAAAGAATGCTCTACAGTCCTACTACTCAAATGACTTCATGTCTATTATTCTCAAATGTCTTAACATCTTGTTAGGAATTTCTCCATATTATATGGACCACACATTGAGAATCTCAGGATCAAAATCAGGGCTGATAACCAACTAGCATGTACTTGGTTCTGCTTAGTAAAGTACTTGGCAAAAACATTGGTAAACAGCAGCTGTCCCAAGTCCTCACTTATCCTTCAAAGATGACAGTCTTGTCTGAAATCGACCCTCTTTTGAAACCCCATCAACCTCTCTGCTTTTCAGCAACAAAGAGGTAACTCCTGACATAGGAGTTTCTTCAGGATCCAGCTCCACGACTAAGGATGGCATCCTAACTGGTCCAATTCCATCAGTTAGATATTATTCCCCATGATGATGATGTCTCTGACTAGCTTAGTTCTCTAGCGCTGCTCTAACATAAATACCACAAGTAGATGGCTTTAACAAAATCATTTATGTTCTCACCACTTGGAAGGCTAGAAATCTGACTTCACAGCATCTCTCCAGGAAGAGATGAATATGAGAGTGCTTCAAAAGTTTATGGAAATGGGGTTAAAAGACAGTGGAATTTCCTAGAGAGTAGACAGATGTTAACTTGCATAAAGGCTACTTAAATTAAATTTAAATTTAAAAAGAGAATAGAAATTTTCCATGAACTTTTTTAATCCCCTAATATGTATTTTTAGATTATTATTTGAGGATAAGTTAAATTACTATTTAAATTAAAACATAGAATTATATTTTAATCAGGTGTTGCTTTTTTCTGAATCATGTACAGTTTATTGAAACAAAGGAGGAATAGCAATTCTATAAAATGTTGTATCATGTATTTAGTAGTGAATCATCTATTACGTATATGGTTCCTGAGTCACCAATTACTAAGATCTTCCTATAAGGAAAAGATTACTAATAGGCAAAGTGAGTGATTGTGAAACTTTGTGAATATTAATTACAATAGCTAAGGAAGGACTTTTAAGAACTACAATGAAAGAATTAAATTTTGTTAAATTACATTTACTTCAAAATAGAAGATAATTAGCATTACATTTCATTGAAAGATATGTACTTATTTCCAGGGGGGTTGGGGAATGAAGTGGAGGGATTTAGAAGCCTACAAACAGGATTTCTGATGAAATATATCATTACAATTGACAACAGTGTCGGAGTTTTTATTATTTAAGGAAGAAGGAAGTTATCAGTTATGCATTAAAGATAGATTTTGAAAGTAGGGCTTTTGACCCTTAACCTTATTTATAACATTAAAACTGAATATATGTAACTAGAAGTGTAATGGGTTGTGAGTTGAGCTGGTAACCACAAGGTCAGTAGTTTGAATGTACCAGGAGAAAGAAGAGACTTTCTGCTCCCGTAAAGTTTTGTAACACCACCACCAATATACATAATGGCTGTCATAAATAAACTGAACTAAAATATATTAAGACTAATGGTTGCTTTTAGAAGATCTTTTGTATGCAATTGAAATAAGATTTGTTATGTTTTAAATCTACCTAGCCCTCTCTAGACTACTGTTAAGGACAATTTGTAAATGCTCTGAGTCCTTCCCTACCACCTTCACCTCCATTTCAACCTCCCCACACAGACACGCATTTTCTGCACTTTGAAACACAAAGCAACTTGTCAGTTCAGTTTATTCAGTTAGGGTCGGTTCTGTGAAAACAAAGTCAAGGCAATTGTTTGATTTAATTGACTAGCGAAACTGGTTATACAGGTCAATAGAACGTAGTTGTATTTTTTTCCAGCTGCACATCTGAATGTTCATAAAGTAACTTAACAAAATAATAAGATTCCAGTGACATTGTAATAGATTTTTTACAGTTTTATCAAAGCAAAGAAAAAAGACACTAAAACCCAAACTATAGAAAATATGCGTGGCATTTTTTTTCCTTTATGTCTCAGATTTCACAATAAGGAAATGTGTCTAAAGAAAAAGTATTCTTTTCTTTCACTATTCATTCCTTTTTCTTTGAGGAATGTTTTCCTGGACTATGCTTGGTATAACTATAAGAACGTTTCCTAATATAATGTAAATTAATGGCTTAAGTAATTTTGACAAAATCATCCTCTGAGTGCAAGACTCTTCTTTCTCCTTGCCTCCCTTTCCTCCCTACTGACCTAGCCTGTGGTTGGTTATTTTACCAACATTCTCACTACTGTCCTGGTTCTCTCTGCCACCTGCCCTCTACTCTACCCATCCCACTGTTCTCTACTCCTTCATCTCCTGGACCTCTGAAACTGCATAACCTGCTTTCTTAGCATCATTATGCAGTCGTGGTTTCTACTGTCAATTTTCTCTCACATAGCTAGGCAGTTTTTTATTTTTACCTCCTAAGCTTGCTTTTTATTTTTCATGGAAGGTATTTCAAACATTTGTTATTTTCTTCCTGTCTATACCTTAGCAAATGATCTTGCCTTCTACTTCAAAAAAGACAGATTCTGTGTAGATATTATGCCACATGAGCACCAGGAATAGAAGCAAACAAGAGTCAAAGACGTTCCTCAGAGCCAACAGAGAGAGAGCCTTCCCCTGGGGTTGGTGCCCTAAATTCAAACTTCTAGCCTCCGTTATATTCTAGAGAATAAATGTCTGTCTGTCAAACCCAAAAAGAAGACTACAAGACTACACAGAGTATGAACTCCCTGTAATTCCCAAAATGTGCTATCTGTTTTCTTATATGAGGGTACTTCAAAACATTTTGAAAAAATGGAATGATAGATAATGGAATTTTTCCACAGGATTTTCAAACCCTCTTATATTACTGTAATCATGTACAGTCTTTAGAGGAAGAGTGATAGCTTCTTCCCAAGCCTTCCACCTCCACCAGTCTTCTCTGTTACCTTGTTTCAAAATACCTTAAAGAGGAAAAAAAAAAATAGTGAAATAAGAGAAGAAATTTTTTGTACATGACATAATTCATTATATGACAAATATATACAAACTATGTGTAACCCTATACAGGGTCACTATGGGTTGGAACTGACTCGACAGCACTTAACAACAACATATACATGCACATGGGAGTATGGGAGTCCTGGTATGGCACTGTGGGTTAATGTGCTGAACTGCAAAGTTGGTTTGAACCACGAGGTCAGTGGTGCAACCCTATGTAGGGTTACTATAGGTCAGAACCGACTCAACGACGGCACTTAAAAACAACAACATCTATCTTTTTTGTTTTTTAATTCACAATTTCTCCACTTACCATCGTTATAACTCTTTGTTCGACTCTGATTTTCAGTTCAAATTATCAAAAGATGGAATTTAATTGTGCCAGATCATGTTTTTGTATCAGACTATGGGTCATGAGCAAATCTCTAAATTGAATTCCCTATGGTTTGACACCCATCCTTTGTCCAACCAACTACATCAGCAGACCTGATCAGGAGAGAGAATACGCTGTATGATTGGTATCTGTGAAAGGGAACCTAGGGATTGTATCTGAGCTTCTCTAACTTCACAAGAGGGAACAAGACTCAAACTCAACAGTGCCTGTGAAGCAGAGGTCAGACATGTCTTCACCCTCCAAGCTTCTTTATCAGGTCGGACACCGCTCCTTCCAGGGCACTCTCAACTTCTCGGCTACGTTCAGTAATTCATTACACTGGCCACACAGAACTCCCAGAGCAGACTCACAGTTGTGGACTTTATTAGGGAAGTTAACAGGTTGCAAGTCAGGATTAGAAATGATCAGGACCCAGTTCTTTAGTCAGGACAGCCTCTTTTAGACTACATCCACAGGCTGGCCTCTCCCTGGTACTTGGCCTCTCAGCCATAGGATTCCTTGGCCTTTACCCTGTTTGCACAAATATTACAGACCTTCTGAATTCAGACTTCTAGCCTCCTATGCTGTGAGAAATAAATCTCTGTTAGAAAGCCAAAAGAAGAAGAAGATCTTTGATATTCTTATGTTTGGATACCACCAAGAAGGGGTAGTACACTTGAAAGTATTTCAGTAGAAATTTCACAGAAGAAAAAAGAATGGGAATAGGGAGAATAAAGGACATTTGTATTCAAGTTCTGATATGGTGCTACAGGATAACCTCTGGACTGCTAACTGCAAGGCTGGCAGTTCAAACCCACCAGCCACTCCTTGGAAACTCTATACAGGGTTGCTATGAGTTAGAACCGACTCAACAGCACTTAACAACAAATATCTCTATAATGAATGTAATTAAATTATATTGCATTGGCTTTTTAGACAGTGTTATAGTATTTTAAATATAAATTCAATTATTACAACTATCTGGAAAAATGCTTTATGATACCAGGTTAAATGAAAAAGTATAATATAAAATTACACAGTCAGTCAGATATGTAAACTGTATTCTTACAATGACTGGGAAGAAGTAAATAGATGTAATTAAATTAATTATAATATGATTATGAATGATTTGTTTTAAAATTTTCTTAATGTTAGTTTGACTAGAAATGAAGCTAAACTAAAAAAAATTTCATTTTTAGCTAATGACTTTTATTAAAAGAAGTTAATGTTACATCACATTGTTTCTCAAACCAACAAATAGTTTGAAAATTTAGGGATCCCCCATTTCTAAAATTGTTAACTATTAACATTATATTTTAAATGTTGCCTTCCTGCTTATACTATTATAAAAAATAGCAGTATTGATTAATCATTTATAAGACCTTGAAGATTACACAAGAAAAACTTTTTAGATTAGTTGACATAAGGTAGAGTTGGTATGCTATATCTGTGTTGGGGCATTTTTGAGTGATTTTAATTTGTTGGGAATTTTTCTAATTTTTAATAAAGTTTGTTTTCCTTTAGCTTGACAGGGCCAATTCGCTATTAAACCAAACACAGCAACCGTACAGGTATCTAATTGAATCAGTGCGTCAGAGAGATTCAAAGATTGATTCACTAACGGAGTATATTGCACAACTTGAGAAAGATGTCAGGTAAGCCGTCTACAATCTTCTCATGAATAGTGATGGCATTGTAAATATATGCTGCTAAATATTCATTGGAGTCCTGGCTTTGTGCTGCAGGATAAGCCTGCACTGCTAACCACAAGGTCGGTGATTCAAACCTACCAACTGCTCCTCAGAAGCCCTGTACAGGGTCTCTGTGAGTCAGAACAAACTAGATGACACATAACAACAACAACAATGTACTCATTCAGTGTGTAAATTATAAAGAACAAATATAAACAATGAATGTTGCCTTAAATATAATATGATTTCTCTTTAGAACAACTAGATCACATTATGTCATGTGTTCACATTGAAAGACCTAAATGCAGATAAATCCCTTTAACTTGTATAAAGGGAAAATATTTTCTTACATGAGACCTTATGTAAAAGACCTAGTCCATTTAAAAACCATTCAAATTCTATACCCGATCATCTTATATGATCATTTAAATTCCTTTAAATGGAAATAAAATGAATGGTACTATGTTTAAGGAAAGATTTATGAATGACTGGTTGAATGGCTTAGTTAGTAGATTTAAGATTACATGAATAATTTTAATTTTTGTGTATAAATTATTAATGGACCCACAAATGTGTAATCTGAGAGTTAGATTGGCAGTGAAAATTGTTAAATCAAGGAACTGGAAAACAATGCACACTGTTGTTCATCTCAGCACTATTTACAAAAACCAAAGGATAGAGCCAGCCGCGATGCCCATCAGTGGAAGAATGGATAAACAAACTTTGGAACAAACACACAATGGAATAATACTATGCAACACTGAAGAACAAGAATGAATCTTTGAAACACCTCATAACATGGGTGAACCTGGAGGACATTATGCTAAACAAAATTAGTAAATCACAAAGGAGACAGATATTGTATGAAACTACTATTGTAAAAACTCAAAAAGAGGTTTTCATACTAAAAAAAAAACATTCACTGATGGTTACCAGTAGTGGGAGGAGAGGGAGAGAAATTTACTGGCTAGAGGGTAGACACGTGTTAACATGAGTAATGGAGAAGGTCACATACAAGAAGAGGGAGGTTAGCAGAAGGCTGAGGAAGTTAGGTGAAGGCACCAGGAGATATGCATGGAGTAAAGAGGATAGAGGTCAATAGTGATAAATAGACAACCTTGGAACAACAGTGTTCTATGTGTAGATACATGAACCGACACAGGCTGAATGGGTATGGGAGAAGGAGTGGGATATATAACATATATATAGATATATATACCCCTCAATATTGAATTTGAAAGAGGATATTTGTAACTTAGATATTTTACCTTTCCCACTATCACAACTATGAATGTGGTGGAGCATATAGCAAGCAAAGTGATAAAAACTTCTTAGATATTATCCAACATCTTAAGGCAATGAGTTCCTGGGCCTAAGGCTCAGGACCATAGTCTCATGGGACACCATGGTTAAATGGCCTAACACAGTCCACATAGACAATGTTCTACATCCTATTTTGATGAGTTGTTCTTAGGTGCCATCTAGTTGGTACTCATTCATAGTAACCCTATGCACAAATGAACGAAACACTGCCCAGTCCTGCACCAGCCACACAATTGTTGCTATATTTGAGACCATTGCTAATGCTACTGTGCCAATCCATCTCATTGGGGGGTCTCCCTCTCTTTCTCTGACCCTCTAGTTTACCAACCATGATGTACTTTTCCCGGAACTGGTCCCTCTTGACCCTATGTCCAAAGTCTGAGAGACAAAGTCTGGACATCCTGGCTTCTAAGGGGCATTCTGGTTGTACTTCTTCCAATACAGATTTGTTTGTTCTTTTGACAGTCCATTGTATCTTTAATATTTTCCTCCAACACCATAACTCAAATACATCAGTTCTTCCACAGTCTTCTTTATTCATTGTCCAACTTTACACATGCATATAAGATTACTGAAAATACCATTGCTTGCGTCAGGCATGTCTTAGTCCTCAACCTATCATTGCTTTTCAACACTTTAAAGACATCTGGTGCAGCAGATTTGCCTAATGCAATACATCTTTTGATTTCTTGACTACTGCTTCCTTGAGTGTTGATGGTTGATCTGAGTAAAATGAAGTCTTTGACAACTTCAATCTTTTTTCTGTTTATCTTGTTGTTATTTGTTGGTCCTTTGGTGAGAATTTGTGTTTTCTTTACAATGAGGTGCAACCCATATCAAAGGCTGTGGTCTTTAACCTTCATCAGTAAGTATTTTAAGTCATTTTTGCTTTCAGCAAGTAAGGTTGTATAATCTGCAAATAGCAGGTTGATATTGAATCTTCCTCCAATGCTGATGCCATGTTTTTCTTGATATGACCCAACTTCTCAGATGATTTGCTCAGCATACAGATTGCATATGTATGGTGAAAGAACACAACCCCGAAGCACATCTTTCCTAATTTAAAACCATTCAGTGTTCTCTTGTTCTGTTCAAACAACTGCCTCTTGGACTATGTAGAGGTTCCTCATGAGCACAATTGAGTGTTCCGGGATACTCATTCTCCACAATGTTGCCTATAGCTAGTCATGATCCACACAATTGAAAGCCTTTGTGTGGTAAGTAAAGCCCAGGTAAACATCTTCCTGGTAGTCTCTGCTTTCAGCCAAGATCCATCTGACATTTGCAGTGATAGCCTCCCTTGTTCCACGTCCTCATCTGAATCCAGCTTGAACCTCTGGCAGTTCCCTGTTAGTGTACTGTTGCAGCTGATTTGAATTATCGTTAGCAAAATTAATGATATTGTCTGATGATTTCCATAATCCATTGGGTCACCTCTCTTTGGAATAGGCACTAATATGGAACTCTTCCAATCATTCAGCCAGGTAGCTGTCTTCCAAATCTCTTGGCATAGATGAGTGAGTACTTCCAATGCCACATCAGTTTGTTGAAAGATTTCGGTTCGTATCCCATCAATTCCCAGAGCCTGGTTCTTTGCCAGTATCTTCAGCGCACTGTGGACTTCTTCCTTCAGTATCATTAACTCATGATTAGATGCTGCTTCTTGAAATGGTTGAGCATCGACCATTTATATTTGATACAGTGACTCTTTGTACCCCATCTTCGTTTGATGCTTTATGCATCATTCAATAATTTGCCCATAGAATCCTTAAATATTATATGATTTTTTCCTTCAGTTCCCTCACCTTGAGAAATGCTGAGTGTGTTCTTTCCTTTTGGTTTTCTAACTCCACATCTTTGCACATTTCATTTTAATATTTGACTTTGTCTTGCTTAGCTATCATTTGAAATTTTCTGTTCAGTGCTTTTACCTCCTCATTTCTTCCATTTGCTTTAGCATCTCTACGCTAGAGAGCAAGTTTCAGAGTCTCTTCTGACAATCATTTTGGTCTTTTCTTTCTTTCTTGTCTTCTCAATGACCTTTTGCTTTCTTCCTATAAGATGTTCTTAATGTCATCCCAAAACTCTTCTGGTCTTTGGTCATTAGTGTCTAATCCATCAAATCTGTTCTTAAGATCAACTCTAAATTCAGGTGGGTTATATGCACGGTCATAATTTGGCTCTCCTGGACTTGTTTTAATTTTCTTTAGTTTCAGCCTGAACTTATATATGAGCATGATGGTCTGTTCCACAGTCTGCCTCTGGCCTTGTTTTGGCTGATGGAGTTTTCCACAGTCTCTCCACAGATGTCATCAATATGATTTCTGTGTTTTCTATCTAGCGAGGTCTGTGTGTATTGTCATCTTTTATGTTGTTTTAAAAAAGTGTTTGCAGTGAGCAAGTCATTGGTTTTACACACTTCTATCATGCAATCTCCAGCATCATTTTTATCACCAAGGCTGTATTTTCCAGTGACTGATCCTTCCTGTTTCCAACCTTTGCATTCCAATCACCAGTAATTATCAATAGATCTGGATTGCATGTTTGATCAATTTCAATATTCTTCAATTACATCATCACTGGCTTTAGTGGTTGGTGCATACATTTGAATAGTGGTATTACCTGGTCTTCCCTGTAGGTGTATGGCTATTAGCCTATCACAGACAGCATTGTACTTCAAGACAGATCTTGTTGTTTTATGATGATGAGTGCTGTGCCCGTCCTCTTTAATTTGTCATTCCTGACATAGTAAACCATGTGATTGTCAGATTCACAGTGGCCAATACCAGTCCATTGAATCTCACTAATGCTAGGATAAAACGATGTTTATGTGTTCCATTTCATTTTTGACAACTTCAGTTTTCCGAGGAATATACTTTTATGTTCCAATTATTAATGGATATTTGTACCTGTTTCTGCCCGATCAACAAATGAAGGTCCTAAAAGCTTTTACTCCATTTGCATCATCATGGTCACCTCTACTTTGAGGAGGCAGCTCTTACCCAGTAGTATTTTAAGTGCCTTCCAACCTGACGGGTTCATCTTCCAGCAATATTCTGGTACTTTTCATCATGTTTCAATGTTTAATATTCTGGCGCTACCTAACAGTGTTCCCCTGCTATTCAAAAGGTTTTTAGTGACTAGATATTCTCAAGTAGCCCTCTCCTTCTTCCTAGTCTGTGTTCATCTGGAATCTCAGCTAAAACTTGTCCACCCTGTGGGATCCTACTGATATTTAAAATACTGATGGCATAGCTTCCAGAATCTCAGCAACATGCAAGCCACCACAGTACATCAAATTGACAGACGAGTGGTGGGCTTCAATGAGTAGAGCCTAGCATCTTAAAAGCTCCTGAACGCCCAGTTAGGTGCAACTATTAGTCTTTCCATGTGCATAAGAAAGAAGAGTGATCAGACATGAACACACTTGGAATCAAGAAGCCTCATGTACCAATGGAGCACGTGATCATCAGTCTCCATGCTGCTGAGACCAGAAGTACTACATGGTGCCTGGCTAGCACCATCAGCTGCTCTGAAATACATCACATTACAGGGTCTCAGATACAGTGGGGAAAATGTGGAACAAAACTTAAAATTGTTGGGGAAAAAAAAAAAGACCAGGCTTACTGGTCAGAAAGAGA